CGGGGCCTGCGGGCGGCTACACCCAGCCGGGCCTCGGGGAGCTGCAAGGGGGCAAGGCCCGGGCTGGCCCTCCATGGCGGCCCGCCGCCCTGCCGCTGTGCCGCCTCGCAGCCCAGAAGGGGAGCAGGCCGCCCTCCGCTCCGGCAGCTTTCGGCGCCTCTTTTCCTCCGCCCAGCGACGGTTTCGTGCTGCAGGGTTCGCTCCCAGAGAGCGGGGCCGGGCTGGGCGCTGCCGGGTGCTGTGCCGCCCTCCCCGCCGAGGGTGCACACACGCCGGCAGCCTGGCACAGCTGAGGCCAGATGATTGCCGGCACTTCATGTGTTTTAAGGCGTCTGTGGTCCACGGGCACTGCGTGTGCCCGGCTGTTGGCATGCCTCCTTCCTTTCACCTGCATAAGCGTTATCCTTAATCCCTGTTAGTCCCATCTCTTGTGTGAAGCTGTAGGCTGTGTGTCCTAACATGTCCTGCTTCCCCAGCCTTCTAGGGATGCTTTTAATCCTGGAAAGGAGTGCTATGGCCCTTCTCTGCGTGGCAGGCTGCATGGAGACCCTGCTACCTGTGGCATCAGGCAGGCTGGGAGTTGGGTTTTGCACCAGAATCCCGCTTTTCCGGTGTCCTTGTGTGAATCAGGTTTAGTGGGATTGTGAACCCGGATGCTCAGGTTCCGTCTTGAAATTTGATTTGTCGGCACAATTGGCTATTAGTACACTGTGAATAGAAACTCTGCTTAAGTTTTGCGTGGGCCTGAATATGTTTAAAATAGGCACATGAGCATAAATCGCTTCATTACAGCTCTGCTGAAGTTTGGGAGTTTGAAAAGACACATCCAGGTTAGGTTGATCGAGTGTTTTTTAAGGGGGCATGCTGAAAGCAGAAAGCCAATTAAGCTGCAGTGGGTCAGAGCCATTTTTAAACTAGCGATGGTAGCGAGTTGTGCCAGTGCATAAATAATGGCCCTACATTAGTATTGCTAAAATGAGGATGGCCTTGTTATTTGAATGCAACTCTTTGACAGGACTTAATCTTTGTAGGTTTTTTTGTCTGTTCCTTTAGCAGAAGTTTGCAGTTTCTCCCTTGCTGAAATATGTGCAGAATGTGAGCTGCTTTCTTACTTCTAGGGTTGTTAATGTTTTCCTTCTGTGCTAGGTGAACTTTAGTGAAGGTAGAGGAGGTTATGGTACTGTTCTAGTTTGTGCTTACAAGAAAGCTCAGCTTTTACCTGTTTGGGATGTTGCTTTCCATATGTTGCGGAAGCTCAGAATACATTTGTGTAACGCCCTCTGAGCTTTGCCAGACTGTCCGAGTTTGATTTACTCACCATTTGGGGAGCAGGGCAAGTCCTCAAGGTATCCTAAGGTTCTTTAGGTTCCTTGGTAAAGGAAAAAAAAAAAAGTGGGGGAAGCATATGGTATCTTTAATTGAAGATGCTGTATTCTTTGGAGAGATTGGAAAAATTTGTTACCATGATGCAAGCTATGAACTTGGTAATTTATTTGCTGTTCTTTAGCATATGCCTGAATCTTGATCTTGTGTGATTAAGGAGAGAGAAAAGGCACAGGGAAACATGAGCAAATATACATGTTGCTGAATAGGTGGCATGCTGGAAATTCATATAATAACTTGTTTAATGCAAAATTGTGTCCACAGTTTCACCGAGTTGTATAGATTGGGGTGATTTTCTTTCACCTTTTGTTTGTGAGAATTGAATCATTATAAATGAATTATCAGTGCTATTTAATTATTGTTAGTGTTTGTTAACATCCTGTTCTATATCTTTTAGCTGAAAGTCATTGCTATTGATGAACAGCTGAGAGTCATTTATGAGGATAATGTTCATTTTGATAAAGACCTTCCGGAATTTAAGTAAGGCTTTTTATATTGTACTTGGATATATAATTTAGAACTTTGGAGATTAGGGCTGGGGGGTTATTGCACTATTTGGTCTCATTGGTATGTGTGGAGACATGGAAAAAGTTCATGCCATGTTCATGTTTCTTACTTGGCAAGGGTAGTATATGCTCTAGCGTTCCTTGGTATGTAAAGATGGCAAGAACTCCCAACAGGAAATAAATTAAAAAATTCTATCCTAAAGTATTATGTATAAATAAACCTTTTTTTTTTTTTTCTTTTTTTCACCTTTTGGGAGTTCATACTTGTGGAAATGACTGTTTCTTTTTCAGACACCAAAAGTAAGCAACCGCCTTTGTGTCAGGGTGGAATGCTATGATAACAGCACGTAACTTGCACGAGGAGAACTTCTAGAAGGCATTTGAGAACAAATTAAGTGGTTCCAAATCTCACAATAAGATGTAGGATGACAGTATTTGTTTACTTCAGTAATCAGAGCCTTTCCTTGCAAATTATTTACTTTGCAGTTGGGTCTAATGTCTCTTATGTCACTTCCTAGGAGCTAGCTTCTACATTTTCAGGTTTCAAACACTGATCATATTCTTACTCTTAACATAAAAGCATTTCAAACTCTTGTTGGTTATTAATAAACTTGAAGAACTTTTCTTGGTGGGGAAAAAATTGCTGAATTTACCAAGAGAAAATATTGTTTCTCTATAGGACTCAAGGTGGAGTCTATATTCACAGTGACAGACTGACAATCACTTCTCCTGTGCTAATGTGGGTCAAGGTATGAACAAGCTTTACATAGTTCAACTTCTTCCTTCCTGTTATTGAAATGGAAATGTATTCCACGAAATACTGAAGCTCATCATTCAAATCAACGTAGTCCTTTGGCTTGTATTCTGTTTCTTTTAAGGGTTATTCAGTGTCTTTGGTATGCAAATATTAATGTTATCAACAAACATAGTGGAAGATCCTAACATCCTAACATTTTGATGTCTTTTTGTTTGTTTCTTCACTCTCTACTGTTACAGCATTGTATATGTGCTACATCCTTTCCTGGCTTTCCCTCATTTGAAAAAAGATTATTCTTTTTTTTCCTTATCTTTTTGTTTCATATACAAAAGGGACAGCTGTGGCTTTGTGTAGCTTAAATCTGTGTTTTATAGCAACCAGGTTGCCTGTACTAATTTATTTAGAATAAGCTTTGCTAACCAATCCGTGTCTCAACTGGTAACTGGTCAACGAGCAGTTTTATTCAGTGGTTCCCAATCATTTTGACTGGTGTTTATTTTTTGAAATACAACCTTCTTTTTTATTTTAAAAGAAGGCCTTCCTTGCTTCTGTGCATATTCTACAAGACTTGCTCTCACATGGTTCTATGTAAATTTGTCTTACTGGTGTGATTTGGACAGTTAAGATATTTGAAAGATCACAGAACCCGCAGGTGGTAAGCCATAGCAGTTGACAAAGGTTTGGTAAATTTGCTTGCAGTTGGTCTTTTGAACCATAATGAACAGTACTGTTGTAATTATTAAATTAATAATATAATGATATAGGCATATGATGTTTCTTGGGAAATTTTGAAGTCTTGCAGTGGTCTGTTTGTCAAGATAGTATGGGAAGTGCTGATCTGAATGAGACTATGTAAAGATAGGTTAATTTTTGGTTTTGAACTTCATGAAAATGTGGCAAGAACAAAATTAACCTAGGTGCATAAGTGCTAAAATTCACTTGAATTAGATTCATATTAAAGAGACTTGTGAGTTTTCAGCTGACACTGGGGGCAGTGGTATTGAGGATACCAAATATTTTTTAGGAGGGGGTGCAGGGTGCACCCTGTTAAGATTTCATAAATTTCCAAAAGTAAGAATAGAAAATGCTAATCCTGCTTTGTGTCTGGCAGTTTTTAAAGTGTCTTTTTAATGAATTGGAATTCTTAAACCTAAATATGAGGCAAGAGTTATAGAATGGATCTCTGTGATTCAGCTTGTTTAAAGATCTTCTCCTGTGTGGTTCAACTTTTCTTTTATGGACTCTTACATAGTAAATTAATTTATGCAGCTTCTTGAGAAGTCCACAGTCATTAGCTAATTTTTCATTATCTGCCAATGAATTCTTATCAGTGATGACATGAATTTACTGTTTTATTCCAGAGATTGTGAATATGCATAATATGATAGCTTGTTACAGTCATTCTTGATTCTATTTGTTCTTGTAGGCTCTGGATTTGATTTTGGAAAAGATGAAGTCTTTGGGCTTTAACTTCTCACAAGTCAGAGCTCTGTCTGGTGCTGGCCAGGTTAGTTTACAAAGGAAAAAATAAGTCATGATATTTCTTCAAATGAGCATAAGGTATAGTGATAAATTTAATTTAAATAATTGTATTGCAGAAAACCATGACATCAAGTAAGACCAAAACTTCTACATAAGCATCCATTAAAAGACATGTTCCTCAGGAGAACTTAAAACCTGAAGCACACAAGGCAATCAGTAGAAGGTAGTGGGAGTGGAGGATGATGTTTAGAGTGCAGTTGTTTAGATCAGTATAGTGAATAACTAGTTGGTTATCTGTTGTTTAAATTTTCTGTACATACAGATTCTGAAATGACTGTGGTAATTTTGAATTTCAGCATATCCAGGTGCTTGTGGAAATGGGGTAGAAAAAATAGTAAGGAGCGGAGTTTGCTCATGGTATAGTAACATCCTGTTGAGCACAGTTTTTGCTGGCTGGGATAGAGATCTGCCTAGGAACAACAAAAAACCAAATGATGATAGTCTTTGCAGAAATGACAGAGGTGCTGCCATGATTTAGGCTGTAGTGCATAATGCCTTTTTTTCTGAGATTTATAAAACCCACTATGACATTTAGTCAGTTAGCCGGTCTCCTAGTACTCTGATGAAACAAGGAAGTCTTTTATAACTTTCACAGATGATATTCAGGGTGAGGACAGCACCAAAGCAATAGCTAATTCTGACACATGAGGTTCAGGTTGTTCATCTTAATATATCTGGGACTTGTTAATAAAAACTCTTGCTTTGATCTCCATGTTTCATTGATTTCAGTTGAAAGTCTGAGCAAAGTGTCTGAAAATCATAGCTGGTATCAAGGCTCTGTTATGAATTCCTCGGTGGAATGGAAGATAGGGACTGCCAAGTAACTCCAGTTTACTCAAGTGAAAAAAGGAACTGCATTTCCATATTGCCTGTATTCCTTTTATTTTACCCATCCTCCAGCAGGCTGGGGGCGTCAACTTGGTGCTGTATTTAGATTCTCTCAGGTAGAACAGATTTTATTTCGTTGCCCCACAATGTCTCTCACCCATTTCTCTTTGAAGAACCTGTCTTCAGGTGCAGAGGTGCAGTGATGGGCCAGTGTTTGTCCCAAAAAAAGGACAACCTGTGGTCTCCATTGTCTGTAGAAATGGCAGAGAGGTGTGAAATGCGATCTGGATCACAGCGTGGTCAAATACTCTGTGTCCAGGGGGTTCTGTGTGCACTTGGTGTCATTAGTGGGTGGTGCTTTGCAGTTTTCCTAGGGTGTCCTGCAGGTGCATTAACTAGAGATGCCTGACTTGAGGAAGCCACCTGAGAGATGGAGCTTAAATAACCTTCTCAGTATTATGCACTTCATTAGTGGTGACTGGGGCAGGCATGTAACTGAAGAATCTGTGGGCTGTACTGAAATAGCACAGAACTAACACTCTTGACAATGGAGCCCTGGCTACAGCTCAAAGAGCCCTCAAAGAATGCCATCAGCAGTGTAATAATAGTTCCCACTAGAAGTTGCTGTAGTTCAAAATCATCATTGTCTCTTGACTCCTACATTTTCTGGTTTAGTATATGCTTTACTTAATCTTAAAGAGTCTTTTAATGAGACACTTGATTTGAAAAGGTGCATTTTTTGGTCCTAGTTTGGAGAGAATTCTCTGTCCCTTAAACTTTGAAAATCAGATCGGGATATGAACTTTGTGGCTTGGGAGGGTGTCTCCAACTTCTGTTTCTGCACTTTATACAGCAACATGGGAGTGTGTACTGGAAAAAAGGAAGTGTCCAAATTTTGAAGAATGCATCATCCAAACTGCCTTTACATCAGTCACTAAAGGTAACATGCCTGAAAGAGCTCTGAAAGGAGAGCTACACTGTCCTTTTTTTGATCCTTACACATTGCTTTTCTCCTTGCAAACCTTTCCTCTTGTTTTGCTGAGTTGCATGCCCCTGCAGCATAAAATGAAATGTACTGGTTATTCCTTCAGCTCCAGGGCTTTTGATGTTTTCTCTTCTCCTGAGTGAGAGTATATACTGCTTTAAAAGCTTACAGGTGCCAATGGGTGTCCCAGAATCTTTCTGTGTCAGAGTAACAGAGTTTGTTCTTTTAGGAAATGTAATATTTTTGTAAACAACTTGTAAATATTTTACATTTTTAAATATATTTGTATTAACAGAGAATTATGGTGAAAAATACTATTATACCTGAGTTTCCTTGCAGTGCATGTGATTTCATTAGAAAATATTAAAAGAAAGACTAGTTGACGCTTACCTCTGAAAGGATGGAAGTGTAATGCTGTGTGGACACAAACTCCTAACAAGTACATTGTTTCACCTCGTGTGTGTGTGTGTGTCTGTGTGTGTGTGTGTGTGTGTGTGTGTGTGTGGTTTTGAACATAGACTTGACAAACTTAATTAAGAAGAAAAGCAGGGAGGAATCAGCTTTCCTCTTCAAGACCCTTACCTTCCTTATTTCAAGATCAGAAAGTACAGTTGTATTTTGAACGGGAGACAATGATTAATTTTGGAAATATCTGTGCAAAAACTCATAGGGAATTAAAATGCTCTTTGGTGATGTACTAAGCCTCAGCTGCATTTCCAAATGGTTTTATGCTGGTCACTAAGGGGAAATTTGTTAGTAGAGCTCTGGAAAGATGATCTGATTGTTTAGAGAGGAGTTCTAAAAAGTGAGGCTGAACTTGCATAAAAGGGTCTGGGGCTTTGTCTTGCAAAGTTGTGTACTGAGACCTCGTGCTGCAGGGTATGTTGGTAACAGCAGAAAAAGCCTGTTGCTTCCTTCTGGTGTGAAGTTTGGGTTAAGCTTTTCACTACTGACCAACATGCAGGCCAATATTTGCTTTCATGTAATTATCAAGAGGAGACCAGAAGTGATGAGAACTGAGCTGATATGTTGTTGTGTTGCTATTAATCTAGCAGGGACTTCTTAGACATCAGACTTACTAATAAGGATATTGTTTGTTGCAGGCTTGTTTTTCTGTCAGTAACAGCCCCATTTGGATGGATTCTAGCACAGCATCCCAGTGCAGCGCTCTGGAGAAAGCCGTGGGAGGAGCACAGCACCTAGCAAGTATCACTGGTTCTCGAGCCTATGAGGTAAGGAGCGGATGGAAAGGAAGTCCTCAGTAGAGTCTTGTGATAGAAACAGCTGTGCCATTACAGTGGTACCGCAGCAGACAATGATCAGCCATTAACTATGGAAGAGAGAGTATTTGAAGAAATTCCAGTGATACTGTCTTTGAAGTAGTCTCACAAAGGAAGATGTGGAAATTTTAAAGTGAGATTAGGCAAACAGTGGAAGTTTTGCCATAGAAGGCAGCTGGGGTGAGCTGTTGCATTTGGCCGGTGTTTCTGAAAATACAGTGTTTGGTGGCCATACTTACAGTCTCAGGGCCTGGTTCTCCCCTGGGAGCTCCTGTGCAGTCACATTTCCACTGGCATGGCAGTCCAGTTTGTGTTACAGGTTTTCTTGGGGTTATGACTCCCCTGTTTGTGGATCACTGCTCTAGGTTACTTCTGCAATTAAAAGATTGGCCTTTTAATGTTCCCTGAGGCTAACAAGCAGCTGTTGACCTAAGAGAAGTCTTTCAGAAGTTTGGGATGCTATCAGAGAATATTCTGTCACTTGCCTCCTCTTCTGATACTTCCCTTTCTTGTAACTGTGGGAACGAGTTACGGAGTTGGAGCCCTCCAGGCCCTCCACCTGGCTACTGTTACTGTTGATTTAACAGAATAAGGTTCTAACCTCCCAAATTGCTGATTCTGGTTTTGAATCATCATGCAAGGTTTAGGGCCAGTGTTGAAATCAGACTTTGCATACCACTAACAGTTTATTTTTAACTTGCTAAAGGTTAAGGTTTCAGTGTTAGAAGTCTTTGGTTATTTGATACAATGCATGGATGAAAAATAATGATTCTTACAACTATTATTAGCCTGTATGGGAGTTGCTGCTTTGAGTATGAAACTTCCTGCTTTGCTCCTAATTCACCTGCCTCAGAGAGGTACACAGGTTGCGTAGCTTAAACCTTTTCAAGGATTTGAAGGCAGCATTTGAATTGTGCTGGTTCCTATGCACAGAATAAGTGTGATTCATTCCATTGGACTGTCATTTCTGAAATGTAAATTATGGATAGTAATGCTTTTTCACATGCCTTTTTTTTCAAAAGGTGAGCAAAATTCTCATAATGAGACTATGCGTTCTAGCCTGTTTAGAGCAGATTACCTGCTGTGCGCTGACTTTCATCATGCATCAGGCAAATTAAATATCCAAAGTGCAATGTACTGAACTCATTACACAGAGTTAATGATTATTGACTCCATTTAGGGTTTGTGTTTCTAAGCATTTGCATTTCTTTCTCAGCGTTTTACAGGAAACCAGATAGCAAAGATTTACAGCCAGAATCCTGAGGTCTACATGGAAACTGAGGTTGGCTCAACTTCAATGTACTTATTGGAAAACACATAGAAATCTTTTAAAATTAATTTTGTGGAGATGTCAGACTTTTTTACTTTTGTTTGATTTCAAGGTTAAAATTGAAAATGTGGTTATTTTTTGTTTTGTTAAATTACTAGTTGTTAGATAAAAATCGGTCATCAGTTCTATCTTGAATCTTATATCAGGCTCCATTGGATCTCACCTTTGTGGAAGAAGTTTTAAAAACCAGACTTTTATTTAAGTGGTAAAAATTGTATTTACAGCAGTTTGAACACAAGTGGGTAATTAAACACACAGTTGAAATTTTCACACTTAGAACTGGCTATTTGCAAGCAGAAATGTGTTTGCTCTGCCATACAAAACTGGCATCCGTGTGGATGTGTACAGGGAAAAAAACTGCAATTGATTCTAGACTTTTTTGCATAGTTTTTCCCTTGAGGAACTACTTCGATTCTATTATTACAAATGAATTGCATTGTGTAGTTGGTTTCCTTCTGATTTTTAATTTTTAGAAATCAACTTGCAATTCCATTATTGTTTCAGTTTGTTGAGTCTGCATCTAGGTGTGAAATACCATGGTTTGAAGCAAGGTGAAAACTCAATGCAAATACAATGTAAATGAAAGGACTCCTGTGCTGTGATTAGAATATGCCAAACATCCAGACCTGTGAAGTCAGGCTGCTCCTGTTTTTGCATTACTGCAGTTCTTGATAGCATCGATTGGCATTTTTTGGTGGTTTTTAGAATCTCACCCCTGCATGAAACAGTTAATTTCATGGGGAAGTGAGTTGTAAAGTTGACTGTATTTTGTGGGAGAATGCTTAATTTTTTTTTTTTTTTCTTTCTTAGTACATTTTCATTGTATAATCTTTAAACTAAGGTGTGTGATGATAAGGAACATTAATACTATCTGATCATAAGCTTAAGACTAAATTTAGAGAAAGATATGTTAATGGGGGGAAAGTGGGTCCGTGGAACTGCGAAGAGTCAGATCAGTTTCAGGCTTTGAGGGCTGGTTGTATTGATGGCACTTTTTAGCAATAGAGGTTATGCAAGATGTTGTGTTCAAGCACAAAATACCTCTCTGCCAGAGATGCTTTTGGGGACCTTCAAGAAGCACTTAGCAGGCTTGGCAGTCTCAATGACATGTGGAAGGTGGATGTTTTTCCTTCTGTAAGTCAGCTTGCTAAACTGGCTGATTCGCAGTTTAACTTCATCCTTTTCCTTCCATTTCAGGCAGCTAGGGCCCACTGGGGCACCACAGAAGGTAGGCCTTCGTTATCTAAGCACAATATGATATATTCTTGGGGAGAGATGCATGAAGGGCATCATTAAGTTTCCTGGCCATTATAACCAGCTCTGGCTATAGTCTGTCTTTGAATGCAGCGTGAAGCAGTAGTTTTGTGATCATTAATAAAAAACCTGTCACTGCTGGCTCACTTGACCAGTAGAGATTTGATTACTTGTTGGGTGACAATCATATTCTGAATTAGAGCCCATAATAAGGAATTTGTCAGCTTTTATGCCAGCTTCTTGGGAACAGGTAATACTTGATAATGCAGAAAGCTTGGTGGTAGCTGCTTAACTTGTAGTTTGTGTAGCAGATTTGAAGTGGAAGCAGGTTTGTGTTGTATCAGTGCATTGTGTCACATGGCTGGCGCATTTTTGCACCCATATTAGAAGCCCTACAGCTGGATTTAATGCATTGTTGGAACATGCCGTGAGGCAGAACTGCAGGTAGTGGTTCAGTTCAGAGCTGATTATTACCAGCTCCTGGGAGTAACTCCCAGGAGGTCTAGGGTCTGAGCTGGGAGGAAGGTAAGAGCTTATGTAAAGGTGCTAGCAGAGCCATGCCAGAACTGCTGGAAAGCTTACAGACCTGTGCTCTGGGTGGACCAGTGCATGGTTTCTGGGCAATTCTCCGTGTTGTCAACATATAGGTGTTTGATTTTTTTCTTAGTAACTTTTTTCTTTAAATGAAATTTTGTGATAGACCAGAGTTGTGAATTAATTCATGATAACACAGAGTATGCTAATATACTAGGTGTATCATGTGTTTCAGAACTCAAAGCAATTAACAGCTTTTATCGTGGGCTTACTTTTAGATTGGTACCTGCTGTATTACTTAGGCAGTAAGATAGAACTGAATAACCCTTTTAGGTGTATTTTTGTGTGCTTTCTGTGCCTAACATTAAGCATCTATTAACATTTGCTGCTTCCAATTACTTAATTATTTACTTTCTTACTCACTGTCTCACACTTTTTCTTTCAGAGAATCTCTTTGGTTAGTAGTTTTGCAGCTTCCCTTTTCCTAGGAGCTTATGCACCCATTGATTACAGTGATGGTAAGTGTGTGGGCTTTTCTTGTAGTAACAATTCAACAAGGAAACTTTCCTTTCCATCCCCACCTTGCATAGAAGGGGGACAAGTTCTCTGCTATTTATTTTCAGTCTTTAAGCTTTAATAACAAGTATATTAGATTTTAAGCTGTTATTCCTTTCAGTTTGTTGCTACTCTTGATAGTGCTGTCAACTGTGCTTATGTATTCCCATCAGACTGATTCCCATTTCTCTAAAGTGGATCCACAGAAAATAGTCTTAAAATTAGATTGTACCTATCTATTTATTTATTTATCTATCTATTTATTTATTTATTTATTTATGGTATATAACAGAATGTTGAAATATCTATTTAAAAGCATTAAAAAGTTGTGGATTTTTAGGCTAGACTCCATAGTTCTGATATTTGTTCTTGGTTCTGCTGGTTTGGCTGTGAGTTGCACAGGATGTGAACAAGATGTGTATTGTGATTATTTTTTCCCCCGTCTAACTGGAGTATGGATCCATAACAGAAACATCTTTTCAAAATGAACCAGAGAAAAAAGCATTAACAAGCAAAAAAACCTAAACTCAGTTAAAAAAAAAATTAACCTTCCATATCTCTTATTCATCATAACAAAGGCAAAAAAGTGACAAGGCTAGTGTCTCTCTTTTCTGTTGTGTGTTATCTCAGTTATCCAGCTTTTAAATGGCAATTTAAAATGGCAATTACAAAGGAAACCATTTTCCTGGGAGCTGTGCTGTTACTTCTAAATAGCATTTTTGATTCCTGCTCTGAAACTAAGAGAAGATATATTTCAGAGCTGAAAGGTTAGATAACAAGGCTCTCTAAGGAATTTTTGCATTATAGAGCCATAGTTGACACCCATGTGTTAAGACCAACTCATTTTTTCTCCTTCGGTGTTCCATCAAAGCTCATAGGAAAAGGCAGGACACCTCAATTTTAGCTAATGGACAACATATTCAATATCAGATATCCCAGTTATACTTGAGACCTTAAAAACTGCAAGGCAGTACATGCTTATTTTGCAGCAGTTGTGAGATTATTACATCTGTCTTCTGGTCCTGTTCTGTTAGCCTTGTATTTCACAACTGAATTTTTTTTGGTGTGTTATTGGCAACAATAACTCTTCGGAGATTTGCACTTTGCTCCTCAGTACACCCAAATACTGTGCGTTTCAGCTGCTCAGAAATCCACAGAACTAGCTCCATGTACTGTATTTCAAATAGAGATAGTGAGCTCTTCAAGGTATTTTTTCTGAAAAATATGTTGAATTTTTATTTTTCAGTGAGAGTGAAGTATTAATTTTGATTCAAATGTTTAAAATTGTAAGCATTAAAAAAAATCTTGGGTTTTTTTTTTTTTTTTTTGTAATTTTACCTCTGCCTTTTCTATTTGGAAGCAAATGGGGGAAAGCCATGCTTCTTCAATTTCAGAACATGAACATTTTTGTGTTCGAAAATGAAAACGTTTTAAACTAAAAGAAAATTGAAATTTGCTTTACTGGAAAATTTTCTTAGAAAATGTGTTGCATTTTTCAAACAGCTCTAGGAAAGCCTGTTCTGTTACACCTCTGGATATTTACAGAACTTGAATAAATATTATCTGCTGTTCAGAGCATGTAAGATTATTAAATCTTTTGTGAAAAAAGATAAGCGAACTAAGCAGGATGTTATAGTTCTTACAAGACAAAAGATTTTTCGACATAGTAAGCTATATTTTGTGTTGTTTATTCCTTTCTTCTGTTACCATAATAAGAGAAGATTCTAATTCCAGTAGTAAAATATAATTCCAAAGTATGCAGTAGTTATTTGTATCCAGCTGAAAAACTTGTTTTCTTGTCATTTACGATTTCTTGCAATTCACTTGATCTTTTACATTTCACCTGTATATTGTAGTTTAAAATGCATCTCTCAAAATAATGTTCAGATAATAGACTTATTCTTCGTTTCTGTAGGTTTAACTTCAGGTCATATCGTCTTTAAAAGACCCTGTCAAATTGTTTAGCTCTGCACAATAACTTATCTCTCTAAATTTGCTGGTTATTGTAGGAAATGTGCTATTCAGTTTCAGGATTGGTTTTTTTCTTTTTAAAGGTCCAATCTCGTAAGGTTCAAATCACTCCTCATGAATGGCTGAGCACCCTGGGTGACTGATTTAAAAAAAATCAAATTACATTCTGGTGGAATGAAGAATGATTTTCATTTATATTGTGCAGATGTTAAGATACATTTGGGACCTAAACAACTTGCACACTTGAGGCATTGTTTCTTTTGGAAGACACCTTCAAGAACAGCAATTCAGCTCTTGACCTAGAGAAGCTTTATCTTTTGAAATGCTTTTTTTAAGAGCCTTAGGCAAATCATAGCTTAGCATACTTGGTTTTGTTGTTCTATCAAACAAGGATGCTTTGAACTGAAGTCTTTTCAAAAGGAAGCGAGGTGGGCTGAATTTACTCCTAATGTAGCTTTCATGGTGTCAGCTTATGATTTTACCTCACTGAAAAGGCAATCCAGAGTGCTGTAATATAGATGCACCTAACTGTTTGTAAATGTATGCAAATATTGATCTTTATTTTGTTGATTAATAAAAGCAGTTAGTCTGCATCCTTTGGTCTATGTAATGAAAGTGTGTGGGTTTTTTTTAGTCCCCCCCTTCCCCAGTGCTGAAGCACTTACACTTTTGTATATGTAGTAAATATTAGCAAGTCCTGATTGTGCTCCTGGTCACTTTATGTTAAAAGTCAGTGATGCTTGCAGTGAAATACTGAATCCTGTCACATCGATGTATTGACCCTTTACTCAGTCCTTACTAGACTGTGACCTTCACTATTGACCTTCATTGCTGATGGTGTATCCATTTGGAGTGACAAGTCAAAGGGCTGCCGTTGATTTTTGGTTTTTTTCCCCCCTTAATTCTCAGGTTATTACTTATTTTATATGTTAAACTTAGTGCTGTAGATCATGACCAGAGGTGCTTGAGTTAGAAACTCACTGTGCATCATTCCTTATATAATCAAAGAAGGAGAAGTGGTTCCAGGGAACACTCAGTTCTGGTTTTCATTTTCCCCTGACTAGGGATTCTCAGGCAAGTGCTCATGGTTAGCTAGTATGAATTCAGGCCAACAGATTAATAGTTCTTGTAACATAGTTGTTCCACATCTTTTAAATGAGTTTCTGAGGGCAGAGTAAATTAGCTTATCTTTCTTTTCTCAGGGCATATTAAAGTGTTTTTGTCACTATATCTACCAGTCAGTAAAGTGAAGTGTTTTTTCTGTATTACATAAACTTAGACCTTTTTAGTTAGTGTTTTCCCTGTTTTATGCAGGAAAGATTAGAGGCTGTCCTTATGTCTTGCAAAATTGCATTGGAGGATACTGGTTCAATGCTCCTCTAGGCTTTCAGAGTGGGGAAGAGAAAGGATTTTTTCCAAAACCCCACAGAAAACAACCTCTCTCTATTAAAATGCCGGTTTATTTAAAGATTCTATTGCTCACTAATTAATTTATTTTAGCAAAAGGGTTCTTGACCTTTTAAATTAGGGACTTTTTCCAGGAAAATGTATAGATTTATATCTTTTCTCATCTTTCCTTGTATGCTTGAGGCCTTGGGACATGAGGCTGTTCACACCCCTCCCCCCGGGAAGTGCAGACAGTGATGCTGGGCTCAGTTTACTCTGGAAGGACTTAGTTTACCTCTGGAAGGAGGGGATGGCTAGATTTAAGAGTGGTCTCACATAGAGAACTGAGAGAAGCTGGAGTAAATCCTGCCATCTTTCCTTTTCTGTGGGTGGTAGCGATTTTGACAGCAGAAAAGGGAAAGGCACCTTTTGCCCGTGGGAGGTATGTTGCGCACTGTGCTGTCAAATTCGTGCTGTCACATCACAGGCCAAATAAACCAGTGCATAATTTGTTAAGTGTGTGTAATATGCCTGAAATGGGATTGATTAATTTTAATTATATTTTTAATGTTTTAAGTATTATCCAAATATCCTGCTGGTTGGCTTGGGTTATTCCATGGTTTCAGCTGGAGTGTGCAACGCTTCCTGTTTATAGCATTGTGTGAAACACTAGGTCCAGACCTTGTTGATGGTGCTTGGGATTGGACTGCACAACTATATTTATAGAACTCATTATTAAGCCTATGTGAAAAAAGCTGTTGGGAGTTGATAGGGTGCGCTCATTTGTGCATGTGTAACCAGCAGTAGTGTATGTGTGTGAAGTGTGTTGGAGGCATGTGCCCTTCTTCAGAATAAGAGTACTGCAAGAGCCTTGTAATGTACTGGCTGAGGTGTGGGTTGTGTCCCTTCTCTTCCTGTGTCCCAGCATTGCAAGCATAGTTTAGTTCCACAGACACCGCATGTGGAGTCAACTTTGCCATTTTTGTATTTTAAAAAGCTTAAAGATCTACCGTGAGTGGAAGTAAATTTCAGGTTTTCCACTGTGCTTAATGAGAATGTGGCTGTGTTTTTGAGATAAGTTGTGGGCTAAATGGTCTTTGAAGTTAAAAAGTTGTTAATCTAGAATAAGACTAATTTGTCCCTGAATAATACTAACCAGAAACACATGTAGATTTTCAAGTGTGATGAAATGTGCAATTAAAGGCATCTTAAAAATGTAAGCAAGAGGGATGTGGAGTGCTCAGTATGTTGTATAGGTTTGACTACTAACTAACTTCAGTTAACTTTTAAACCAGCAATAAAATAGTGAGGAAGAAGCAATGAGAAACCAAACCAAAACTGCATGGGCCTTCTTCAGATCTAGTGATATTCTGGTGAGGAAATAAGTGACCAAATCAGTTATCTAGGTTTTTGCAACCTGTAATTCACTTCACAGAATCTAGACTAGAGGTGTTGCATGCTTGCAAGTGTTGCAGATTTCAGATGGGCTGTTTAGCATTTCTGAAAACCATTACTTTGGTATTCAAAGCTGGACTTTCCAATCTAGCCTCAAAATTGGAGACTACATTTGAAAATTTGACCTCGTGTTTTTTTTGACTTCTAAGCCTTTATTTTGTCATTTCTGCAGAAGGAAACATTGATATGGAGCAGAACTAGTCAGCATGGATTTAGATACTTTGTTCAAGGGTAGGAGTAGTGTAAAGCTATACCTTCCAGGGGGAATTTCTTCATTGTTAGGTCTCAGGTGAACACAACACAACTTCAAGTGACATTGCTGCATCACCTTTAGATAGTTGTAGTGAAGTCTTTGTCTAAGGTGGAAGATTTGGGTAGAAGTTGATGGAGAGGCATTCATGTTGTTCTTTTTGCTCTTAATTCAGGAATGACTGAATTTCAGACTAGGACATTGTGCATCTGAGAAACCTTTTCTGCTACCTTTACAGGTGAAAGCTATCCAGAGGTTGGATTATCAGTATCCTTTATGCTTAGAAGAGCTGAAACCATTCTCTTTGAATGTAAAATATGCATCTGTACATATTCTGTTGCCTGTAATGAGGTAGAATTTTCTGATACAGTACTGTCTGGAGTTTAATAATATATTCTTCCTGTTTTGATCTGTCGTGTAGGTTCTGGTATGAACTTGCTGCAGATTTGGAAAAAGGTATGGTCAGTGTCCTGCCTTGATGCTTGTGCACCTGGATTAGAGGAGAAACTAGGGTGTCCTGTACCGTCCCATTCAGTCCTGGTATGTTCCTGCCTATAAGAGTTGTAACCAACAAGTAGGACTTTGTGCTTAGAGTTCTGCTAATAGCACTTCTTTGAGTGTATTTGTGTGTGTGAGCAAGCGTGCATGCACAGTTATCCTCAGAGCTACACTGCTTGATTTAGTATTTCCAGGTGTGTTGTGAATGTGTATGCCAGAGCAGAAACAGACATGTTTTGAAAGCTGCTAGCTGGCATCATCATAGCTTTCATCGTTGATCTCTTTGGATTCTTGCATGCCCTGGGGCTATGATGAGAAAAGTTTTGGTAGATGCTTCAGTGCTAAGAATCTTTGGGGTCACCTCCCATGCCCGCAAGTACCTGGTCACTGCAGAACAGTGCACAGTATTTATTACTGCAGAAACAGAACCCAACATTTGCATTTCTTGACAGAGACCTTGTTTTAAACTGCTTGTAGAGTTAATGAGGTAATCTTTGTGAATAATTTGGGATATTTAAAGCTTCTCAGTTCACATAGCATAATGGTGAAATCAAATCAAGCTGTGCATCTCTTAGAGTAAATGAATTTAGTCTTACTACCCAGCACAAAAAGAGCTATTGCTTTAGCTGATGCACATGTAAGGGAGTATAGATGCCCATCACCTGATCCTCTGAATTCCATGCTGATCTTCTGTAACAGAGAGGAATGTATAAAAAATCCTAATAGATGTCCTTGTACTTTTTTTATGGATAGATTTCTTCACCTGTTTTTTTTCCATGGCTATCAAATGTGGCTTAAAAGAACACAGTTCTTGACCCCTAAAATAATAGGGGTCATATTCCAGCATTTGATGTTGTGATGTATATTAATGTTGTGTTTCCCCTTATGTTTGTATTGAATTTCTAATTTCTGTGTATTAATATTCATGTATGTGTGCAAAACAGATGGATGTGTTTATGTTACTTGATGTGAATAACTGGAAAAAGACCCAAAGCTAAAATGCTACTATTTATTTAACCTATTTCATAATCTTATTTGAGGGTATTTCTGTAAGGTTCTTAACAAAAAAATGTGTTAAAAATCTTGAAAATACTCATTCATACTTTAAATACACAGAAATTATTATTGTAGCTGCTCTGGGGTTTTCCAGTTCTATGTTACAACACACTGTGTCATACATCACAAGATTATTTTCCATTTTTGGACCTTTTTTCTTCTCTTTTTCTTTCTTTCCTTAGGGGCCCATTTCTCCATATTATAGTCAGCGTTATGGGTTTAGCCCAGACTGTAAAATAGTAGCATTTACAGGAGACAATCCAGGTGAGATGATTAAATGTGTAAGATTCAGTGAATATTATTATGTATGTACTAAAATTCTAAATCAATCTCACTGATTCTCAGGTGCTCCCTATATGATGAAAGTATATCATGTTTATCAGCATTGATACCTTTTTCCAACAGCCTTCCGTCACCAGTTCTTCTGATATGTAGACATCTTGGATAAGCTGGGTATGACAAATGAATTCTCTTTTGCCTAGTAATTAGAGGTGACTTCATTTGCCTCTTGATAAATTCAGTTTTGGTTTGCCTGCCCGGAAAAACTATTATTACTGTGAACTGCTAGCATTTTAACTTAGAAAATATGAATTTATAAAATTGCTGTTTTATCTTTTCAAGCAAAAAAGTGGAGATGGACATTATAGGCTTTCTCTTAAGAATTAGGGCTGTTCTTTTGTCAGACTTGATAGATCTCAGTATAAGGGTAAGTGTTAATTTAGGGTCCATTTTTTGAATCTTGGAGCCTGTTTCAGTGTAGAGCAAATTAATCTGTTTCTCAAGAGTCTGAAAATAAAATACTCTTATTACAGTAGCATATACAAGTTTGAATCATGATGGAGGCTCCATTGTGGTGTATTTTACATTTGTATTCTGAGAGATGGTTAAACTCTGTATTTCTCAAAAATCCAATTTTTCTTTTAGAGATTCAAGTCCAGCTTAGTCCAATAAATAACATGAGTAGTCTAATGTAAGTGGGAGCATTTCCTCTTTAAAGTGTGTTGTTAAATAAGGGTCCACTGTATTTAAAACCTGGATACATAAAACACTAGATAAACGTGCAGTTCTGTAGTCTTTTGTCTGAAGCATTCTGATCTTACTAAAAATCACTCCCTAACCCAAATGTTTTGGCTGTCTTTTACAGCGTATAGGTCAAGGCCACCAGGAGCCTATTTGCTGTTTATATTGTACTTTGAGATGGTGAATGCAATGTATTATGATGTCTTATACAACATGCTTTAATTGAGTCAAACATAACTGTATCTGGTATTCTGACTTTTTACTTTCAGCATCACTGGCAGGGATGAGACTTCAAGAAGGAGATATTGCAGTAAGTTAGAACATACTCCTAAAAACTGTCCATATGCCTGAATAAATGAAATACATGAAATGTAAAATTGCTGTAGGTTATCAGTTAAATTTATCTGCTAGTGTTGATTTTCTGTTTATTGGATTCACGCTTGTTTTATTTCTACCAATCTGTAAGCTGCCTGAAAGATTTTATTTCTACCAAACTGTAAGCTGCCTGAAAGATTTTAAGTAAACTCTTGTGACTATTTTTAACTAATGCTCCAGACATGAAAACCTAAGTCTCCATCCAGTATGTATTTCACTGGTGTGACAACCTGAGTCAGAGCTAGCTTCAACATGAATCCAATTGACTTAATGTGTAATTTAAAAACAATTAGTGGTAATAACAAATGGTTTTAATTTAATTTCTGTATTGCTTTCCATGCATATTGTGATAACACTTCAATTATTTTTTTTCCCCCTCCAGATTAGCCTTGGCACAAGTGACACATTGTTTCTGTGGATCCAAGAACCAACTCCTGCCTTAGAAGGTCATATCCTCTGCAATCCTGTTGATTCTCAAACATATATGGCACTTTTATGGTAATATAATTTATTTTTTGTACATCTGGGATCAATAACATATATTTCTTTCTCTGTGTTAGTGTTTTTTATTTCTTTTGCAAAATGATAACGAATAGAACATTCAGCAATCTGTATGGTATATGGCAATCTACTGCTGAAGCATTTGCATCAATGTTATAGCATTCCTATTGTTTAATTTGAGTAACTGAAACTGTAGAGTTGTGGAGGATAAATTCTCACGGCAATAAAAAGCTGAAATAATTTTTATGTATACATGGAACCCCGATCACTATGAGTCTAAGGTAATATATTTAATGTACAGGAGTAACAGTCTTCTCAAAGATAATAATGTGAAATGTCAGAACCTTGACCAGGCTGTATAACTTCTGTGCTCTTCTAGTGGTCCAGAGGGGGGACATAATGGGACAGGTGAAGATTACCTTTTCAGAGAGGAGTATAATCAGTGCTGTCCAGGGACATATTAGGCTGTGTATGTGGAAAAAACTCAGATCTCAAGAAACCCAACTAAGAGAATGATCCTCATGGTAGCTTTTAGCTGCTGTAATTTGGCAGTTATTTGGCCCCTTGCCAGCCAAGTAGGTGGAAAGGTAGCCTGAAGCTATGTTTTCCCTCACTGAGTCACTGTATTTAGGGCAGATTTTTCCAAAGCAGGTCATAGTGTTTAGACAAATATTTATAAGCAGTATGCAGCTAAATTTTATCTAAATCCCCTGGACTGTAGGTGCTTGAAACTCAAAACTAGAGCAAAGCTCAAAACTGCCCTTTAACTGTAATGTTGAGTCTTATCTGTACAGTAATAGGATGTTGTAGATGACAGTGGGAACAGTGATCATGGAGTTCAAAAGCATGATGTCAGTTGCAAGTTACTGAGTTTCTTAGTATGAGTTCCCAGCAGTTTTTTTTTTTTTCTTTTGAGTATTATTTTCAAGTTTCTCTTTTACTCAGTATTTTTCCCACTTTTGCTGTAAAAGAGATATAAACAGCCTGTTCATAATAGCAAAGGAGATACTGAATCATTTTTTCTGAATAATAGTTATACTGCCATTCTTTTACTGCAGCTTAACATGTGCAGAAGGCCAAACCTGCTTTTCAGAAAGCAAATTTCAGCAGCCATGCAGATATAAAGAGTTCCTGTTCCTCCTGCCTAACCATTTCTGCCATGACACTGCCCCTTTTGCACCAATGCTCCTTTGTTTCTAGACTATTAGAGTTAATAGGGGACTCTCTGTAGAAAGAGAGTGCCTGAGCTACGAGACAGAGTATTTGAACAGGAAATTTGAGTAACTTCAGCTGTTGCTATTAAGCAAGTTCAGTAATTTCCTCGCCTTTTTTCTGGATATTTCTGTGCCTTTCCTGCTGAGTTGCTCTGATAACTCCATGCTAGAGAGTATTCAAACTGGCTTCCTCTGGATCTGAATCCAATGCTGCAGTATTTTGCAGGAGTATTATATTCACAAAGGAGACAAAGGCGCTGACTGGATAAAAGGTACAGAGACCATAAACACTGAACAGATTGCATATTTTGCAGCATTGTTTACTGGCTCTGGACCAGAACTATGCAGATGCAGCTGTGGTGCTTTCCTTTGGCAGATCTTGGCATGGAGCTAGACCTCATAAGTCTTGTTGGACCCAAGCTGGCTCCATACCAGTACCATGCTCCTGAAATCATAAATGCAATGTAGAGACACCCTTGCTCCTCCTTGCAGGGTAATCTTGGAGCGAGCTTCTTAACGCTGTGTGAAAGTACTTCTCTGAGGAGATGTCTTAGCTGTTCAGAGACAGTCTGGGTTTAGCGTGACCTCCCCGTCTGGATCTAAGCTGACTCATTGGAGAGTTGTATACTAACATCTGTGCACTATGTTCCTCAACACGTCCTGTAATATTTGTTTTCTCTCTTACCTAGTTTTTTCCCCTCTCTATCTCTTTCCATAATGAAGAAGAGATGATATCTTTTAGCTTGCCCAGCTTTATTCAGCTGATACAATAAACACCAATATTGACATAAACAGCAAATTGCTTTAAAAATCTAGAGCCAAATGTTTTGGAAAATGCATATGTTATGTTTATGTGTTTCAGTTTTAAGAATGGCTCTCTGATGAGAGAGAGGATCAGAGATGACTGTGCCTCAGGCTCCTGGGATGAATTCTCCAAAGCCTTATCATCTACTGTTGCTGGAAACAATGGAAACTTGGGTATGAGCCTTAGCAGGGCTGGGAGTTCCAGGGTTTGCTTAGACACATACTTGAGTGAGTGTTGTACCTACTTTTTACTTGGGTCATGGTAAAGGCCAAGAATCAAGTTAGCTAGAGCAAGGGAAATTCCTGATGTGTACTTAGAAATGCTCTGTTGGCAGGCTAAGTGTCATGATAGTATTTTCCTTCAGTATTCACTAAATAAGAAAATTATATTTATGGAGTTCTTTTGGCATTTAAAGTGTGTTAGTAGCACCTTAGCTGTAGACTGTTTAAAACTAGTGATTTCTGAAGGAGGCTTTCATTAAAATTTGTTTCTTTTTCTGAGACTCAAGTGAATTAAGTAGCTCCATATTATTTCTTTTTCCATCATTACTCTAAAATCTTGTTCATGCATGTAAACAAAACAGTAATGTCAGGTGATACCCAGATTTCCTGCATTTTCCCCAGTGTATGTCACAGAGTAATTTAATCCCTGTTTTTTTTTCCCACATTATGGTAAGTGAATTAGATTAAACAAAATTATGATGATGATCATATTTTAAAAATAGGGATAAATCCATGTATTTGAAATATCACATTATTTTCTTTCCTGCAGTTTAACATTTTACAAGTGTAGTATATAGCTCTGAAATAAGTTACTGAAAGGTGAGCATATGTGTTACCAAGATTAAACTTTAACCATTGCAGAGCTGGATTTGAAGTCATTACCATCATCCTAGATCTGAATTGATATGAGTAAGATTAGTTTTAAAACTCTAGATAACAAAGTTCATAAATGTAGATATTTAAGCTATAGAAGACTTCACTTCTTAGGAAAGTGAATTTAACATACAGTTACTTGACACTGTGAGGTTAGCACTGATCTTTTATTCTTAGAAGCTCTGTTACGTTGTCTGTCAAATCCAGTCTCTGTGGGGTATTAAAATGACCTGGAATCTCTTTTCACTAGAAGACAAATCAATTGAGGTGTTTCAGAAAATGGGAAGAAGTTATTCCAAAACCCAAAAGTCAGTCACTTAAGATGTTATAAAAAAAAATGGAAGTTGATGAAAATATTGTTACTGATTTCAAGGATACTAGGACACACTGCCATTAAGTTTTAAAATTTGTACTATAGTATATTCATTTGGATATCTCAGTCCTCTATAAAATGGCTGTTTTGTGAAAGTCATGCTCAATAACCGAAATGCTTGGATAACCTCTGGGTATACATGTTAAAATATTGTAGTTCCCTTCCCTCAAGAACTCTGATTATGGAAAGTGGAGCAAAGAAGTGGTTAGGCACCCTCCCTTTTATCACTTGGTCCCTGCACTTCCTGTTATGTGGGAAGATGCCCCTGCAGAGGTTTGGGAATGGCAGAGGCAGCTGCTAGGGTGAGGTTGGGATAATGAAAGTAACAGAGTTAGCAAATAGGGAGGGAGGAGAAATGACTGTATGAAGGTCCTGTTGCGACTGGGAAGTGTCTGAGAAGGCTAATAAGACCAGCAATTTTACGTGAAGATGGTGAGGTAGCACCAGGGTCAGAAAGGAAATTTTGGGTTATATATCCCTTGGCAGGGCCTGCAGATCTGTAACCCACAGTGTTGCTTACTGACAGGTTTTCAGAATGTTTAACCAAAAAGGTTATGTGTGCTAAAGCACAGTAATATTTTGGGGTTTTTTGACTAATAACCATAGGGATCCTAGGACAGCATACTGCTGTTCCAAGGTCTGAACCTTAGAAACGCTCCTTAGTTTCTTAGCTCTCAGTTTTTCTGTCCTTATTTTCTTTTTTTTGTCTCCCTTCTTGAACATCTTTTCTGACCAGCACTTCTTGCCATGAACATGAAAAATCTTTTTCACACCTTTTGTCTAGCTGTCTGCAAAGCCTTACAGCATTTCATCAGATCTCATCAAACTGTTCAGACCAGCTCTGCTTCATGAATTATAACATCTGATGTTCTCTAATAAGCTTATGAAATCTAATCCAGTGCATGATGTGTTCCAGTATTCCTGTACTCTTCTTGCTAACACACCATTTTTTCTGGTTTTTTTTTTTTTCACCCTTGCATATGACCTACTGAAACTATTTCTAAGATGTGTTATATGTTGTCTATGTTACTCACATGTGGGTGTGTGCTCTTTTGTAGGCTTGTTTATTATATAGTTTGGATGCCTAGAGCCAGGCATGCTCAAGACCCACATTTTTGTAAACTGAAAGTAGTTAAATTCGATAAATGTGTGGACTGAAACTAGTTAAACAGACTATATGGTGACTCGGATGTCTTTCCAAACACATGATAAACATTTATTATCATTTTAGCAGTGTGTTGAAATAAGATTCCAACTTTGGGCTAAGAGCAAACATGACACACTTTAATGTTCCTTGATGCAGGTTTCTACTTTGATGTGATGGAAATTACTCCTGAAGCAGTTGGGATTCACAGATTCAATGGAGACAACCAAAAGGTAGTAATAATTTAGTTAACATCTCAGACCTTGAAGGAGTACTGTCAAGGCTTGAAATCTTTGCCATTATCTCTCTTTTTTTATTTTTTTTTTTTCTGAGATACTTGCTTTCAAGTTTAATTTATTGTTGCAAGTCCCTGGGATGATTTTCATAGGGAAGTATTTTGTCTGTAGCTTGAGACTATCTACAGTGCAAAGACTGAACTAGAACTTACATGGTATTTTTGGGAGGAAATATTTCCTTTGCTGGAAAATGGGGATTTACTGAAGCCAACACTGGTTTTGAAACAGGATTAACTTTAAGCTTATTGAGAGCTTATTACACTTACATGACTTAGTCCCCATCTTCTAAGTTTCAGACATACAGATAAAGATGTGTTGAAGCTTTGGGCTATAATATTTTGGTCTTTTATCTTGCTCTAAATGTGTATGTGAAGACCTCATTTTGCTGTCCTGCATGTCTTGGAGTAACTAACAAGCTACATAGTGGTATGTAAGTAAACACAGGCTCAAATCCAATTGGAATTAAAATAGAAATTATGTTATGGAAAGTTCTTTGTATCTTTCTTCTTTTGAGGAATGGATGTTGTTTAAATGTCTGTCTCTCTGGGTGGTACTGAAACTCAAGAGATGTCTTTGATCAATCATGACTCCCAGTCGATTAGACCTCACCTAGGTGAACAGAGATTGATACTATCTTGTTTGCAGTGTAGCACTACTCTCTTAAATGTTTGCTGTTTAAATGAATGCTTAATCACTTCTAGCTGTTACACAAGTTGTAGGCACTTGCTGTAGTGCATGGAAAAGCTCAACTTTTTGTGGAAGATTCTTTTAATTTGTTTGTAATTTTCCTACTCCTGTTGCCTTTCTCATATTCTGGTTGGCAAAAGGACAGAAAAATATTACATACAGAAACTAAATAAATTAATGAAAAGATAATCTTTTGTGCAGACAGAAATATATTTAAACTTTTGTGACATTGTTTAATGCATCTGAATTTTGTCTACTTGCTTTAATTTTGTATTTTTGAGATACTGATTCTGAAGCAGCCTTTGGTGCTGGGAAATGCATAGAGAAGAGTTTACAACTTGCAGTAGAACCTTTTCCCATTGTACATTGATTTCAAGTTGGATGGATTTGCCAACAGCACAGGTTATGGGTTACGTTCTGTGTCATGAGTCTTTAGGCCAATCTTGTATGTATGAGTGAAGAACTGGGCCTAGTTGAAAGCAGCCTTCAGGGTAAAGACAAGGATAATCAACTATAAATGTCCTGTGTTTTTAACTAGTCTCCAGCTTTAGCCAGTCTCCAGCTTGGCATTGTATACTGTGTAAGGTGCTTCTTAACGTATTCCCTCTTTGATACAGGTTTCAGACTTTCCAAAGGAGGTGGAAATACGAGCGTTGATTGAAGGGCAGTTCATGGCTAAGAGGATTCATGCTGAAAAACTGGGGTATAAAGTCAGTAAGTATGATGAAAAGCGGCAGAACTAATGGCACTGGAGATCAAACACAAAGATAGGAGTCCCAACAGTAATATCAGTATAGTGTTTCTTGTCCTGGCTGATGGATACAGAAACTGGTATGAATTATAAATTAGCCTCCTGGAAAAACTTTTGACAGTGTGTTGGGGGCAGATTTTTGCAGATGTTAACTTCAGAAGGACCAATGGTTTAAGATGACTTCTTTTTCAGGTATTCTTGCTGTTTCATTGTTACTGAGCTGCATTGTAAATTTTTAAATAAGATTTTGGGCTTTGATAGCTTGTTAAGTGAAAAGAAGACCAGCCTTCTGCCTAAAGCACAAGACTGTAACTCAGAAAATTTGAAATCTATGTTCTGTTTCTGGATCTGCTATAAGCGGGTCACTTAACCTCTTTACCTCAGTTTTCTCTTAATAAAGCAGAAGCCCTTTCCCTGTCTTGTGATTTAGAAAGCAAGAGATCCTGCTTCCTAGAATTTATCATATGAATAGTTTTTAGCACATGGGAACAACAAAGACAGTACTTTACCTATAGAAGAAGGATCAGATCATTATTGGTTATGCAGTTCTAAGAAAGAATGCAGTTAAGTTGGTAAGAGGTTTTATTGGCGTTTTCTGTCAGTGTATCAGCCAGTGGTATCTTAAAGAATACTGAATTAACTCATCTTGAGGGTTTTTAACCAATGTTCTATTTTTTAAAACCATATTATTTTTATTTACATCCTGACCTCCTTCTTTACAAGCCAGTCTTGACCTCCTCCTTTACAAGTTATCACTTGACTTCTACCTCCAGGCTTTTATCTATAAACATGTGGATAGAATTGTTTTATTTTTTATTTTTAAGTGATAACTCTAGAAGCTGAAAGTTGATAAAATATAGATACTGGAACAAATCACAAGGCTTGGCAACACCACCTCATAAATTTATGCTGTAAAGGTTTTCCTGTTATGTATTTTCTTATATACTTGAAAATGTTTATTTGGGGAGGTTATTTATGGAGACAGGCAGAGATTCAAATAGATCATGTTTTAAAATACCTGTTTATCCTTTATTCTTAGATTCTGCTGCACCAAAAGCTTGGCTTGTGTAGCCTAGAAAGCTCATGGCTGAAGATCATACGTTTGCATGCTGTAAATGTCAGGGGTTAGACAAACATCAGAGTGCGAGAAGAACTATTTAAGATAGACAACTCTGACATAGAAACAAATGGGTAGAAATTATCTATTAATACATTTAGTCTAAGTAGGACAGCCCAAAACTTAACTGGTTTTTGTATGTGGCTAAAAAGCTTTAAGCTTTAAAAACTTTTTAAAAAATTTTTTTATTGCTGTAGATGTCTGTAGTAAAAAGGAGGTGGGTGTGATTGGGTTGTGTTCCTGTAGATACCTTGGAACCTTGTATGATTTTGTTTTACATCCCAAGGGTCTTTTAGCTATTTGGTAACAACAGATGAGTTGCTTTAAAAAAGAACTGCTGTGCATAGTGTGGGCTGTATGCATCTACCACTTTTCCTTAGTGGTATTATTTAAATGTCATATTCTGTTATTTGTGTAGTGATGGCAGGCTTACATCTGCATTTCTTGTGTGACAGCTCTGAAAACAGGGTGTGTTCTGAATGTGTTTCAGGGTACAGATGAGGATTGTGGGAGTTACTCTGGTATTGCCAGACTTTCTCTTGTTTAAAAGCTGCTGTTTTTCAGGCTGCTTTTTTTTTTTTTTTGGTTTTAATGTGATTTAAAAGTTTATTTATCTTTTGGATGAAATATACAGTCAGGACCCTTGTGTTTATTCAATTCCTTTTAGACCTTGTCTACATGGGGAATTTACTTTGATTTTTCCAGGAGACAAGCTGATTTACATTCAGAAATATAATCACAGCAGTGTAAGTTTTGACTTTTTTTGTTGTTGTTCACACCAGTGGGAGAATACAGTAATAATGGCTCCCAAGATCTGGAAAGTTATATGATAACACCTATTAAATTGATCTGTAACAGAAATGGAAGTGGCATGGTCAGTCACAACAAATGCTTTGCTATATTGTTCTGAGGTTTGTGTGGTGCATTTCAGTGGTGCAAATGAGTCAGAAACCTGGCTAAGAATTTCCCTAGCTCTGGCACCAAGGTGATGGAAAATCATTTTGGCAGTCATGAACCTGTTCTCTATTCTTGGGCCAAATGCAGTTTGGATGACTGAAATCTGAAAAGCAGCAGTGTATGTGGAAGAGAATTTTGTAAATAAAAATAAATAAAAATCTGTTATATACAGTTCTTGGTTATGCACTGTGAACATGACAAACATTAGATAATCCCTTAGAATTACAGTTAATGAACATATTACCTTGCTAGGAGCAGTATTTTGAATCCTTGATCTAGCTAATGCTGCAGGAAGAAGTGCAGTGATGCTGAAGGAGTGTTTTATATGTGAGATTTTGTTCCAAGTTGGATGTGTCCGGTACATTATAGATCTTCTAGAAATTAGAAATAATAGTATTAAAAGACCCTTAAAACAGCTCTTCAGGTGCTCTTTGTGCTTGCCTGCAGGCATGTGCACAGGTTTCAGTGCAGCTCGTGTGCCAGTAGAGGGCAGGGGATTCTGTCTCATGATTTTTTTCTTTGAGGCTGGGATGTGTCAGCCTTGTTTTGAAAATGACACAGGAGTCACCTGATGATCATTAGGAGAAAAGTTAAACCTTACATTAATCGTGATTTAAGGGCTTTAAAAGTGTGTGTCACTCTGATCTAATTGCTCTAATCTTTCTCAATCAGATTTTAGGGGAAATCATTCAGTAACACCCTGTATCCTGTTTTGCTTATGTGCTTAAGGGGTGGATAGAGCGTTGTGATCTAGAAACAAACAAGTTAAGTTTGGTCTGTCCCTGTTGTTTACATCCTCCGATTCAGAGATTCATGCAGATAAGGTGAAGGTTTGCTGTTCTGCCTTTATTTTCCTGAATTTTGATTGTATCATAAACACCTGTTTTGTCACTTCATTTTTCTCTTTGCAGCCACCCCCTTTTGAAAGCCCAGCTCACAATGGGAGTTCAGAGGCTGGTCATACAGACATGCTAGCGGCATGGTTTGGGAACTCGCTGAAGTCAAAACCAGGGTAACTTTATAGAGAAATGACAGTGTCTGCAGCTCAGTGATACAGGTGATCACAGCAGCTATAAAGCTGTCAGTGGTTCAGACTGATCTGCTAGTATATACTTTAATAATCTTGATGATCACTTCAGAGTTGCTTCTATTCGTGGCCAAGCAATCCTAAAGTTCATCCTAAAATTGATATTGACTGGAGATTGTGTCAGTGGTCCTTGCTTAGACCTAGTGAAGCTGTCCTGGTGAAGGACCAAATAACTATTCTTGGGAGCAAAATCTACTCCTCTGCCCACTGATGGGTAAAGTAAATATTGCCATATGTTAAGTATGCTGAAGGAAAGCGGGACATAGGTAGGGGTTCTGGTGTTGATCACACGTGGTCAATAGATATTTCAATGATGAGCTAGGCTACAGTGTAGAAATCTTCATGTCAGTGGTAATCTGAGGATGAAGTCTGTACATACTGGGTCAGGTGTGTGCTAGATAAGCTTTTGTGGGACTGCAGCAGCAATTAATAAATCTTGCCTTGTAGGCAGGCTGATTATCTGGGGTGGGGTCAGTGTCAAAGCTGTTAGCTTTGGACAGGGCTTTCTTCCTTCATGTTGTTGTGCCAATCAGTGAGTTCATAGTACTCTAGTTGCCTGATGTACTGTTTGTGTCACATTTGTACATTTAGGAATCTCATTCTGCCACCTAACTGTCATCAGCAGGGAGAGATGGATAGAAGGTGCCAGGTTTTACAAGTGCAAGATTTGTCCATAAAATTCTGTGTCTGTGTTATGTAATTTACAGTTTCTTACATACATAAATCCATCACATGCAAATAATGTTGGTGCCCTGAATTTTACTGACTGTACTTGGTGCTTAAATACTGGCTGGGGTGACACAGACATGCCTGTGGCTTTGCACTGGTGTAAGAATGAGCCAGTTCTTTTCCTATGGGTGTTTCTAATGTGTGAAAGTACATCTTTCTGATTGGATATACACCAGGATGCATTCTTAAAGAAAACAGCAGTCCTGCAGCGCTAGGGAAAAAAGCAAAATATCAGAGCACACTGGGCCTGACTTCTCAGTGGTTAGAGGGGGAACTTACATTTTCTGAAGAGCTCAGTCTAATATTACATGAGGGCAAACCCCAAGGTGCCAGATTTTTTTTCTTTAGGTAGTGTTTTCTCTTGATGCTCTTTTTAGCAGATTGAAGGTAGTAATAATGTGTGGCTCTTTGTCTGCCAGAAGGGCAGTCTGATGGAGTGGGGGGAGGTCAGAAAATATCAGTTAGTATAACATGGAGCGATTGTGTTTCATTGTTCATGCTATCATGTGGTGGCACAGAAACCTGAAGGCAAGGTTTGAGGCTAGCACTTCACAGCAAAGTTTTGGTCCATTGGAGGATGAAATGGCTCTCCAGTTTGGCAAGGCTAGATGCCAATGCCAGTGGTTCTTGGAACACTCCAGAATGGCTTTGTGTCAGGCTATGAGACAGGTTTTTCTGCTGGTGGTTGTCTTTGGATGGCTTCTGTGATTGTAGTCTTCAAAACTCATGAATTATCAGGAACATGGAAATACTTGTTCTGTCAGTCATCTTTGCCTTCACCTCTGTGTTTCTATTGCAGCTGTGGCAGTGTTTTGGCTGAAATGAGGAACACTGTAAGTGAGGCCATTTTGTAGTTGCATACAGATTAAATTGATGTTTATGCCCTGTGGGATTTAAATTTCTTGGAGAAAATCGATACTAAAATGTTGTGTTGGCTTCGAGCTTGTCTCTTGCTGTTTGATGCTAAGAGTGCTGATGATGTTTCAGCAGCATGAGGGTGATGGCTTTGTTAGGGGCCTTCTGCTTCAGGCAGTAAGTGAAAATGGTTTAAAAATTATTAGAGGACAGTGGCA